TAACGATAAAGTATTAAAATATTAAAGTTAACTACTCGGGTTTATAGAAAATTTATAAGATCTAAATCACTTTTGTATATATACTTATTGATAAATATTATATAAATATTACCAATTATATACATTTGCCAACTCTTTTCTCATAGTTATTTCTATTAATGCATCTTCATTTATTTTCTCTATATTATCTATTTCATCATTCTTTTCTTGTAATCTTCTGATTGCATTTCATCTGTATCCTTGTCCTCATTAGTAAGTTTCATAGAACCTTTTTCTAAATGTTGCAAAAAAAATTTAATATTTGATTTAATTCCATCTTTGTAATAATCTTCACAATATTTGCATCAATACTCTAAATATGTAAAACATCTCCAGTGATATCCATGATCACAGATTAACACATCGCCATCATATATATAATTATTTGCAATAAGAGGCTTATTACAAAAATCATAATTGTTAGGTGAAGGTGGATGTGTTGTATTAAATCCAGCAGATAAACATTTAACATCAACAATTGTATCAAGGGCAGCCAATTTATAAAGAGGATAATGTTTTTGTTCAATAAGATAACTTTGGCCTTGTATAACAAATACTTTTTGAAAATGACGAATAAGAAATACTGCTGTTTTTTTAATAAGATATTCTAATATTGAAAGTGTGTACAAATACTGTTTTGTTTTATCAAAAGTATTTTTAAGAATCTGAGTTTTTTTAAAATCTAAAAAATTATTAATTTTTTAAGAATTATAATAAAAAAAAATATAAATTTATTATTAAAATTTTATTATATATTACCTATAATATATGCTTGTGTAATAATACTTTCAGCGTCATCATGTATATTTGTACTTCTTCGAATTTGACTATGCAGATTTTTAACGTAATAATCATTAAAACTCACAAGATATAGTTGTAATATTTCTGCCATTGGATGTTTATTGTCTTTCCAGTAAAAGTAATCTGAAAGAAAAACCAATGATGTTTTATTATAATTTTTTCTTCGCCAGCATAGTGTAAATGTCCAAAGCCAAAATATAGTCTCGATATATTTATTTAATGATCCAGAACGAAACAACAAATCATAAATATCAAGTGTAGCAGGAATAATGTTATCCAATAGATCTACTAAAGTTCTATATTCTATGTCTTTACATGTAGATCCAAATTTTTGCATAATAATTTTCAATACTTGTTTCTATCTACTATTAGCTAATTCTAAAAGCAAGTTAATTTTCTATAGTTTTGGCTTTTTTGTCAAAATTTTTTTTTCTTTGAATACAAAATAGAAAAGACTTTTAAAAAAATCATAATGTATCATTACAGCTTTTTCTCTAAAGTTTAAAGATACATGAAGTGGTCTAAGAACTGAGACAAAGTTATATATATATGAAGGAATAAAAGATTTATTCTTTTCTAAATGAAAATGTGTAATAGCCATTCGAATAAAAAGCTGATCAGGCCAGTCAGCTACAACTGGCACTATATTTGATAAAAAATAAGTTTTTAATAATGAGATATTAGCAACTGTTTGTATTACTTTAAGATAATCTGCAAGAGAATACAAATTTATCTTTTGTAATGCAATTAATCTAACATCTTTTGTAGAGTGTTCTTTCTTTCTTTCATAGATTGCATCATTATATATATGAACAATAAGTTATTCAACATAGTCAAAATAATTTGGATTAATTTGTTTTTGTGCAATCTATTGATTTTTTCTAATGTTATAACTTGTATTAAAGCATCTACTATAACTTGTTTTCAAATATAAGCAAAGCATATCAAAATCAATATTTTTTGAATTTTTGAACTGATATATTTTGATAAGTAACTAAAATCGGTGTACAATTGTTAACTAATTTAGAAATACAAGTTGCAAAATGCTTATCATTAATAGTAACTGAAGTAGTTGGTCAATGCATTGAATGTATTGCATGGTAATCATTAATGTTAAAAATATAAAAACTATTATTCTGTAAATAATATTAAGATAAATAAATTTTTATTTATTTAATAAATTAATATTAAATTACTTACATAAATAGTAAAATATTTATTAATTTCTGTAGAATGATTAATTGCTATTTCTTTTTTATATTTATCAACAGTTTTTGGACAAGAGCAAAGACCCATTGCTGATAAAGTCTCTTGAAGTTCTACAAGCTGCTAAATAAAGTCCAATTTCAAGTTTTAAATCATTAACAAATTTATTGCCTAAACTGGCTAGAAGATAACAAAATCTAATAGCAGCTTTTTTTTCATTTTCATAAGTTTTTTCTGATCTTGTTTAAGGATTTATTGCATTTATTAACTTATTAAAAAATCCTTGCAATCTTGGATCTTTTTTTTCAATAAGAAAACAAAATTGATTCAGATCTAATTCTATTAAAAGATGTTGTCTTCTTTGTATATCATAAAGTACTTTTATTAAAAGCTGTAATGGCTCTTCAAAAGGTAAATCTAAAAAATAATAATTACTATATTTGTAATAATTAGAGTAGCTAGAATTTACTAAAATAAAAAAATCAATATAATCACCTTGATTATTATTTAATATATCTGATTGTATAATATTGTTATTTAAATCAAAATTTAACAAGCTATTTTGAGATATAGCTTTTTTATTTTTTGATTTATATCAATCTGGTTCAACGATATTATTGTAGTATTTTTGGCAAAGTTAATCACCAATTTTCAGATAACTAAATACATCAAATGTTTTTTTATCTTTGATTTTTCATAAGCTAATTTAGTAAATCCACGAATTCTTGTACTTTGTTTATTACAATTATATACTGCACAGTGTTTAATATTAGTCGAAGTCATTTTTAAACAGTTTTGTTAAAAAGTATTAATTATACTTTAAGTATTTTGTAATTATTAATAATACAAAATTTAACCAATCAGAGTTAAAATTATTATCAGATGATTTAAAATTAATCTACATTTTTATAGCCAATCGTAAGAAATTCTACTATGCTACTACGAATCAGATTTCAAGATCAGGTTTAACGTAACACAATCAAGAAGATTCAAAACAAACGTCCATTTTGTCAGAAATCGCCCATTTCTTGAAAATTGCATAGGAAACAACCTTTAGTGCTTTAATAAAAAGTTTTCGCTAGACAATTTTACTATATAAACACCCCTTCAAAACCCTAACCCGAACCCTAACCCTAACATAAACGAACTTCGAATAATTTTTGCTGCGCCATAACCTGGCACACATTAAAGCAAAGCATAGATTACAAATAATGACGACATTAATTATGACGATCAAATTAAATCATTATGGCCTCGGTGCTTACCCTTAAATGACCGTTATCACATATGATTATCATAATAATACTTAAATAAGCAAAACACGATAACCATAACACTTTCTAAAATAAGAAAGAATATTGCGCACCAAAAAGTTGAACGGAACCATCCCTCCATATTTCATATGATCGTACTGGTATAACAATAACAACAGTAATAGCAACAACACCGATAATACTAAGGCCGTTCAAAGTTGATTAGTTGTTTAACATCAACATTTTGAGCTCAGGCTCGAGAGGGGGGATAATTTAAACAAACACATATACAACACAGAATATTTGATTAAATATCATTGGTCAACCTTAATCACATGAATATTGAAGATTATTCTGCATTGTGATTGGCTTGTTTAATTTCCGGGGGGACAGCTAACCGAGAGGGGGATAACGTTAAACAACTATTCAACTTTGAACGGCCTAACAATAACAATAACAACAACAACAGTAATAATAACAAAACAACAACAATAATAATAACAATAACAACAATAATAATAATAAATAAATTTTGAAAAAAAATTTGAAAACAATTTTCCGGAGGATATAAGGTCGGAAGATCAATGTGACTGCGCCCTCGACTTGCGGTAACTCCGGGACTTTTTACGTACCAGTTGCGTGCATAAATATTAGTGATATGACCCAAGCCTGTAGTTGGCACATACCTAGCTTTGTAAACTTTATTAAATTAATTTGGATATTATAAGGTTAAACCTCAAAATTAATTATATTTTTGTATATTTAATAATTTTTGTTTTATTTAAAGGCGATAATATTGCGTAACATACATATCTACAAAATATTTAAACCACATGCGTATATTGTGATACCAGAAATGGGAATTTAATAATATTATCTTATCGTTATCTTATCGTTATATTTTGCATATCATTTTAGTTTGTTGTACTATGGGGTCGGTAGGCCACATTAGTTTGAGGTTGCCAACCATTGGTTACTAACTAAACGAATAGAGTTAGTAACCAACCGAGCAGAGTGAAGAATCAATGTGTAGAGTTAGTAACCACCATGAAAAGTCTTTAACTATCAATGTAAAGAAAAGTATATCACTGATACTTGCCTGGTTTTTTTTAAAAAAAGTATAATAAGTACAATAACGATTAGAACATTCTTAATATCCTTACGTAGTACTAAAATAATAAAATTAATAAAATTCTTTATTAAACATAATATCATTCATTTAACCCGCATTCATTTAATAACAATCGGTATATTAGTCGTGTAAATTATCTATTTATGTCCACCTGGTAGTTACAACGTTTGTACGTACTTACAATAAAAAGAATCATATAAAATTTTGCTGGCTGCAACTAATCGTTTTTACCATGCCATGTGACTAAATTTTGTCGATTTGACCAATCAAACTAAAGAAGTCTACACGAATTATCCCGACTAGACGGAATATCTCGGAATTGAGCTAGTTGATAATTAAATCGATTAGTTGTTTAAATTTTCTAAATCGATTAGTTGGAAAGATTCAACTATTTGATTTTTAGGATTACTAGTCCCATCACTAATAAGTATATAAAAAATTTGGAATATAGATGTAAATTCAAATTTGCATAAAAAAAAAATAAAAAAAATTATTTCTACATTATAGTATCTTATTAAAATTTAATTAGTCAATAGTAAGTTTTCGGGCAACTGAACATATCATAATGAAAAAAATATTTTTCGATCCATTGTATAAAGCATAAAGTACATACATATTTATTTACTTATTTGTAAATAATTTTTAAATGATTATAAACAATATTAAATTACAAATGCAAAAAGGTGATAAAATTTTTTTACAATAATTGAGAAAAGACAAATTAACAAAAAAAATTTATAGCCTTCTTAATATTAGTCCGATATCTTGAGATGAATCGACGTCATCATTTACTGTTAGTTCATCATCACTAACATTGCGGCTTAATATACCTATTACATTTGTATTATTTCTATTATTTATATTAGCCTGACTAGTTTGACTATTTCCAGAACTACCTATCGAAAGATCAGATGAAGCTATCAAATTTATATAATGAGATGATACATTTGAATATTGAAAAGGATCTTTCAAATAAGCAGGTTTAGGATGAATTAAATGAATATCTCGATCATCATTTTGATTGCTAAGAGGTATGTCCGGCTTTGAATCGCCTTTTTCCACCCGAAAAGACGAGGTATTGGACTCATCACCATCAAAAGAATCAACCGGGGATATAAGTTTAAGTGAAATTAAATGAGATGAATTGTCTGGAGGAGAGAATAGTTTAATCAATAACATGTATCTTAACCATTCTAAAAAAGAAGGTTGTGAAACCAAATTATTATTATCGTCATGATTAGTATTGTCATTATTGTAATAATGATTATTGTTACTATTGTCATTATTATTATTACTATTATTATTACTATTATTATTATTACTGCCTTTTTTAATAATATCGTCATCGACAACATCATCATTGATAATATTGAGAGCTTGTAATTCAACAAAATTATTGGCATTTTTTGGCATGCTGAAATCATCAGTAACGGATTTGTTGTGAGATCGATGCGGATAATGAAACTCATAAGAATTAACATTGTTGATCCACCAATGTAGCTTAACAACTTGGAAAGCACGAATAACAGCAATATCTTGAGAAAATACCAAAGCATTCACTAATCCTAAAATGAGAAAGATTAGATTAACAAAAAATGATTAAAGATAGTAAAAAGAAAAAAAATAAGACATATATATACACCTTGAATCGATAAGCCAATGAAGCAAAGTAAAAGTAGAGGATAAGAGACCACACGATGAATATAAACGTATGTCTCGACGAAAGAACTAAAAAATAGGGCTACCAATGGCACCACAGGATACCACACGACCCTTTTGACAACTGAAGAAACCACAGTTTTATTTATTAAGGTAGGATGACTAGATATCTGAGAAGACGAAGTTGAATCCGAAACAGTAACATTCTTTGCCGCAGATCTGAGTTTTCTAATGACCATAATAACAACAATCGTACAGTACAATATGGATATATCTATCCAGCCGAAATAAGTAGTCCATTGCCATATTATATTATGTTTTTGACCCGAATGACGATACCAACATACACTATAATAAATATTAATGAGTATATGAAATAAAATACGTTAAAATTTTGACATTAATGAAATAAATATAAATCAATAAATATACTATATATACAAATATACTATATATATATATATATATATACATTATACTTCTTATAGAAAAGTATTCGTCCGACCTTAGATTATCTAAGTCAAAATAAAATCATGAGTTATAACCACTATTATAAAATTTATGAACTTTAGTAAAAATTATAGTGGCAATTAAAACCCACAGCATTATCTTTAACTCGGATAATTTAAGATAAAACAAATACTATTCTACAGGAAGTGCATGTGCACTTATCTAATAATATATGCATACCCCTCAGGTTCATCATAACCATACATATTACCGGTAATAGGAAGAAGAGAGAGTAAAAGGGCAAACAAAAATGTAATTATAAAATAAAATTTTTCAAAATCATAAATACAACTATATTCACATATAAATATTATATGAAGGTTCTAAATAAAAGAAAAAAAAGATAAATGAAATGTATATGTATATATAAATACGGAAAAATATAAAATTAATACATACCAAAGCTATACAGACGATGAAGAATATAGAAGAAAGGGGGAAAAATACCGTTGCCCAAACCTTTTATATAAAAAGATCCGAAGGAATTTAAGGCAATTAAAAAAAAAGGAGGATATAAAAAAAAGATACTATTGAATATCGAAAAAGAAAGTTAATGGATGCCTTACCATGTACCCACAAAAAAGCTCGGGTATGTTATTCCAAATAAGAACAACTAAAAGATGGCCAGAATTACCTATATCACAGAACAAGGCCGCAAAACTTAGACGAAATGAAACCCGATCTGCGAGTTTAGGATAGTATATTCGTATGAAACCAAAGGTTATGCATGATATAGCTGAAAAAATGAGAGAAATGACATTTAGAGGAACACATAAGTTGGATATGGTGGCGTATTGTTCCTCCGATACTGGAGTGATATCATCCATTAGTAATGTTTTAGTAGAGTAATAGATAAAAATACATACAGTACATATATATATATTAAAAAAAAAAAAAAAGGATTGTTTATGCAAGATAAACAATTACAATAAATTAATTAATTGATAATGTGATTAAGTTTCGGTTTGTTTTTTTCGGATTTACCTTGATCAAATTGAATAAATGAAGTACATATATGCTTTATGATAGGATAGGCTACACAAATTTATACCACCGGTTTTCATAACCTTTAGTGAACCGGAGATCCGGGTTAATGTTTATGGTAGCAATGCCTTTCATGGTAAAAAGTGCATTTCTTTTGTATTCCTATTTTAAATAAATCGTTAACTTATGCGTGCAAGATTTAGGGACTAATTTCATACAAGTGCAACTTTAGTCGGGTGTTATCTTCAGTCAGAACATCTCCACAGGAGTCTAGACACTTTTGCAGTTAAATAGTGGCACAATCAAATAAGATTTATCGATTTATCGGCTTTATGTTAAGGTTCGTTGTTGTAGACTTCGAAATATCGCTCGTTCTTCATAAATTGAAGCGGAATTTAAGTGGATTTAGAATTAATAAATTGCAGAATTTATTTTATATAAACCTATACACTAACTATATAAAAAAACTCCAAGTTCATTTAAATTCCGTTCACACTTACATTCATATACAAATGAGTAGTATTTTTCATTCATTGCCAAGAATGAGTACGTCGTACGTACGTATTTACATACGTACAATATTTTTGCAAGTGATACAATCCCAATAAAGGAAATTTTTCTATGTAGATTGCAAGATAAGGTGCAATCTTTGTGTAACATGAAATCGAAGGCTTTTTGCCTGTAACAAATTTTACTATACGATGCTCCTTACCTCAACCATAACTATAGGCCCTAACATTTGCCAAATTTCAGGTACGTACTTTTAACGAAAGTAAAATTTGCAATTGACACGTGATTTGTATCACTTGCAGAAATAAGTAAATCCGTAATCAGCGACTCTTCTTCCCGCTTCATTAATCTGTTATACGAATTTTGGCTTTATAAATATCGTGAGCTAGTGATTGGATTGGGGTAAATTTCGTGTAACATAATGAATTTAAGGGAAATTTAATTTTGTTTGTATAATTTTTAATAGAAGCACGCACGCATTACGCATTTTATGCAATGTATTATCAAATCAGGTTGATCATTAATTAATTAGGGTAGCGTGCAGCATGTGATTCCGCACAGGACCAGTGCAATCACGTTAACAAGTACGTACGGACGTACATACATACATAGAATTCCATTAATTATGAAAGGTCTTTATATGTTGATTAAATAATGCGAGCAAATGAAAACTATGATGCAATGGTATAATAAGCGCTATGAATTTCCGACTATATTAGTACAACAGCAGCATTTCAATCACCTATCTTATTTAATATTTTTTTTAGCTTCATTTGGTTACTTGAATTGATTCATCAATTATTGCTCTTTGTAAATTTGTGTAATTTCTATGATTATTAAAAAAATTTTTCGCGATTGCAATTGTGGTTTCGATTGTACTTATAAAGCGGCAAGTCTGAGCCAATATAAAATCAGATTTATAATAAATTGACCAGCTTTATAAACACAATTTCAATCGCAATCACAAAAAAAATCAATAATTATAGGGACCTACAGATGCGCAAAGAGCAACAAATTAGCATTAATAATGAATAGAGGTGGGTTTCATGCGTACGTATGATTGTGGGATCATATGCATTTCATCCAATCAAAACTTTTATATATAAAGATTAAAATATAAACCATATGTATGATTACTATTTTAACTATCGATTTATATACCGTGAATCCATCATAAGCGTATGAATAATTTCTTCATAATTCAAATCTTAGAATTCCAACCTGCATTGATCATAAGACTCTAGCATCATCATTATCACTCTAAAAAATTTTGCCACCAGAGTTAGAATTAGAGTTTGGTGTATTTTTGTTTTGATCTTATGTTACACCTGATCTTGGATTTTAATTCGGCCCGATAGCAAAATTTAGGTGTGATGCTAGGATGGTTAATTAATCGTTATTCATTTATCCGACATGCATATTCGGATATTTATCTTTTTTAAATCGGGTAATCTGATGTATTAGAGATTACAAAATTCTAAGGTAATCATCGATATAAATTCTATTTTCCTTCGCATGTAAATAGAATTTCCCTAATTTATATTATTAATTACCTTAGAATATTGGATATCCAATAGATAATCGGATAAATGATTCATCGATTGGAGCTCTACTAAATCTTGCTTTAATTAATTCACTATTTCAATCAGTAAAAAAAAAAACCAATTTTACGGTAATGCTTATTATTTCCAGCAATGCTTACTATTTCTGATTAATTCTTGTTATTGTTCTAGGTGAGGTTTTTATACCTCTTAATAGTCGTAATAATATTTATTTATAGTTTCTATGATATTATATTAAGTGTGAAAGCTTTTAATTAACGTCATTGTATTATTAAAACAAAGATTTGTTTTATAATCTCTTAGTACAAAAAAAGGTTATAAAAAATAAGTTATTTTTGAGTCGAAAAACCCCGCAAGACATTATATTAATCGAAGAATAATACTCTTATTTCATACTTCGGGGAATGATCCAGTAAATCCCAAGTCATTTGGGGCCCGAAAACCCCTATATGATTGGAAGTTACTTCTTATTTCTACCTATTCAGGAAAAAATCGTAATTTTATAAATTATAAACGGCACAAACTCAAGTCTTGTTTGTATATAAATAACATCAGGAAATTTTTAAATAAGTTATATATCGATTACCATCGGCAGGGATGATTGGCATCGATTATAATCGATATAAATCGATGCCAATCATGCCGATGGTAATCGATATATACCTTATTTAAAAATTTCCTGATGAAATAAAGCTCATCCATTACTGGAAATCTCCATCAATATAAAACACGAGCAAGATTAAAAAGTTAACTTTATCTTGAATAGTTAAAAAAACAAAAAAAATTAAAAAAAATATATTACCTAATTTAAAAGAATTTAAATAATAGTTACAAAAGATTTTAACTATGTACTTAACCAATTTAAGACAATTATATAGTTTTAAAAAAGTATATTTTAAAAAGATTTGTTGCCAAAATAGTTATAAAAACAAAACTTTGAAGATAGATGTAAAC